TCAGTATTGTAATATCACTGTGTGGTGGGAAATGATATATCAGTATTCGGAATATCGCTGTGTGGTGGGAAATGATGAATCAGTATTGGAATATCACTGTGTGGTGGGAAATGATATATCAGTATTGTAATATCACTGTGTGGTGGGAAATGATATATCAGTATTGGAATATCGCTGTGTGGTGGGAAATGATATATCAGTATTGGAATATCGCTGTCTGGTGGGAAATGATATGTCAGTATTGGGATATCCTAAATTAGATGCCGGTAACGTGCAGCCCCTCCCTAAACAAAGATATCTTCCATTCAATTTTCCTATAATTTCCTTAATATAACTTGAGTAATATCACCTTCACGACACATGCAGTGCATTGTGGGAAATAGTCCCGTCACTGAAACATGTCGCTTAAAGGTGGCGTAAATCGCATTGTGCGCAATGACGTCATTGTTGTGTCATTATATTTACGAAGATGACCCTGCCAATTTCAACTACTTTCGATTCGGAGTCAGGGAGGCGAAAATCAGAATAAACGTAATTATTGTAAATTTGAGTCTATCAAGTATTCATATCTAATGTGAACACTCATTCATTGTGACTGTATTCACTGCTATTACTGCCAAGTGCCACATTTCCACACCTTGACAATTATTCACTACACTAATATTAATGAGAATATTTAATACTGAAAGTTGTTACTGTCAATAGAAGCCAAGTAACGAGAACTGCCCAAAGACGTGTATAAATTATCTCTTTACTTCACCAAAAGGAAACAATTCCCGGTGAAAAATTGGAATGATTATATATAGATGCGATACAAGAACAAGCAGTGACATCACAATGAGATCACCCGACAGTAAATAATAACCGTAACTGAGAATAAAGGGTACTTAGTATGCCATGGTAAAATGACGTCGATGCCGTGATTAGAAATTATAATCACAAATCGTCACCAATAAAAACAAAAGAATCAATATCCGGCCGTGTCATTCGTGTAACTATTTTACACGGATATTTATCTGTACTCACAATACGCAACAATACAATGAGTTTATGCTGAGCCGGAGTCGAGGTGACTGTAACATTGCATTTTTCCATTCTTGAATTTCAATATTATTAGGACGTAATCGTGTGGAACTGTGAAAAAGACTTGTCAGTTTTGCCGTGTATTGCATTTATCATTTTGTTGAACAAAGACATTTATTCAGTTTACAATGCATTATGGTCCTTATTAACAATGTCGTAAAAGCTGACACCAAATAATTTTTTTATATATATATATAATTGTGTTTGGGGTTCCTATTAATTGCAAAGAACTGTCAGATAGTCACTTTTTGTACCAAATATTACATTAATGTAACTATCGGAACTATCTCGTCATTAACGGCTATACTACACATGAGTAGACAACACACGCACTGAGAATATTGAATCAATACGCCGCTGTGCGTACAAGATTACACAAACGACGTCGGAAAATAATAATATAAATTGCGGCTACGAGTATAGAGTCAAATAATAGTCTACTCACCGGGACGCTGGACTCGAGTCATGGATTCCGACTGGGTGCTTGACATCGGGTATGCAAAGCTACTAGACACTGCAAAGAAACATAGAAAAAACGAGAGCTGTCAATGTGAGGGAAAATAACATATTTTCGATGAAAATTGGAGTCTTATTTATTCGCATTAACAATATTACGATAATTGGCGCGTCTATATCACTTGGAAGGCGAATGAATACAACACAGTTGACGGAGGGCGTTTTGTGTGTGATGGCGGGGTGCCGCTTTACTCCGGTAAATTACCCCGCCGTCACAGTTTGACTACACTTGGGACACCGCGGCGATATTCTACTTTACAGGCCGAGGTCTATAGAAAACACGCTCGCAGTTGTCGTCTAAAGCTTTGTATTTTAATTATTCAACCAACTTTTAGGCTGCTTTATTGCTCGTGTATTGCAGTTGCCAGGGCAACTCGCGCGCCATTGCGTAAGGATAGACATGAATAATAATAATAATAACAATAAACTAGATGACAATTTACAGAATTTGAGCTGACTGCATGGTGCACGCGCTTCGCTGGCGACAATTTCACGCGCAAAATCTCTGTCACACCCCGATGTTGTGTTTTGCCTGGAGTCCCATTCAAAGTACATTCGCCGAAATTCAAAATGATTGCCATCATCATTCAGATCCCGAATATTATTTTCACAAATTACTGTCAATTCAACTTAGCAATGAAATAAATCGTCCACACACCGTTCGAGTAAATAATGACGTCATTTTCAGGTCAGTCGAACACAGATTCACAGATTTACAGTCAAATTTCAAACTTACCACCACTTAATTAATTTGTAACTTAATTAATTTGTAACTCATTTTAAATCAGAAATTACTTTTTTTTACGAACGTGGTTCACCAAGGCCGATCGGCATAACATGTTTACCCTTTCGAGCTTTCGTTTGCCTTTCGCACAGAACGTGTGTTGGTTTTGTTCACTATATATTTATGGGGTAGTTTTATTGAAGGTTAAATAAACCCAAGTCAATGAAACTAGTTTCGTTGTATACATAATGCAGTCATGTCTGCGTTGATGTTACTGTCATGGTAAATCGACACACACTTTATGAATGTCCATGTGTCATGAAATTGACAATACATATAGCTCGTATTTCGTTGTTTATTCATGTCGCAGATATACACTAGTGTTTGCTGTCGACTTTTTGAAGAAAATTTTCATCAAAAATTCTGTTTAATGTAACGTTTCGTTTCTTCGAAAAGGCGACTGAGTAATCCCTCT